AAACAACAACAGAGAACCCGAGAAATGTGAGTAAGAATCTGTGCATTCTGACTATACTCATACTAGCAGTCTTGTAGTGTACACATCCTACTTGTAGTTTACACGCCCTATATACAATCTGCAATGCACTGCAAATATTCACTGAAACTGAAGGGTTCTACAAAGATAGCCTGTACTACGCCAGATACGAAAAATCACTAAAAAAACACTCTTTAGAAGTGGCCAAAAAAATATGTGGAAACGTATTCCTCATGTGATGCAGCAGCACGATACCCCGAGGAAAGGGCGGACTAACGGGTTACACTACTAATGGCACAGAAAATTCAATGAAAGTAGTGATATTTTTTTAGAGAGTCGTAAACAAAATTACATTAAATAAGAAAAAAGAAAGTGGTCAAACCTAAGACTGACCAACCTAGAATGACTTAATTTTCTCGCGAAACGCTAAAATAATCCGAAACTACCACGATGCCACGCGAACCTCTTCAACGTGGCGTCAGAATATTAATTTCTGACTAATTCGTTCCCATGTCACTCAAACGTCAGAAATTACATATTCTGACCACACTCAGGCGAGATATTTAATGTGAAAATCTATTTAGGAAGAGTCAGCCAGTCTTGTAGTATACACATCCTAATAGAGCCAAAGAGAGGGAAACATGAAGTTAAAAGTAAACGCTGACAAACATGAACTCAAACTGTCATCAACATAGCCATTTTTGGCGGAAACAGATTTCCAACGCCCGTGTCTCTGAAAGAGTCTGTCGGGAATACTAGCATTAGGTGCAGCTGAGGCACCACCAGCTCTTAGGGAATGTTTGCTGAACAGAGAAATATCCAGAACAATATCCTTAAAGCTAGATTTGAAGTAATCTCTTATACATGAGTAACTAACTTAGCGGCTTGTTAACAGATACTAGTCTGTGATCTAATTTAAACTTGTACAAGGCCCTAAAGACATAATGGCCTGCCTCAACTGGAAAATTTTCAACCTCTCTTAAATAACGCCTATCCAATTATGAAGAACCTCCTCAACTCGGAAGAAACCAGCGAAAGCAAGAACAAAAACATACACACTTCGTAATTCAAGTAGATTATCTAGGTTGGATTTTTCAACAAGCTTCCTTATCATATCTGGAGAAACTGGCTCTTTCTTATTACAAACAAGACTTCCGATTGTTCTCTTAGCGGCTCTGCTAACTGCGTGGATGATCGGGCTGTCTGTAGGGGAAGGTAAACCCGCCAAATGGTGTGTCTACTGTATTCCAAATATGGCAGAGTCGACCGCTGAGCGGAATGGGTAGTATCCACTAAATGGTGTAGGTATAACGCCACATGCTTTGACTTTGCAAGAAAAGCACAAATCTCCCTCTCAGAGCTGGCGAACACTTTCCACCTCAGAAATACTCTCCTATAGGTGTCGGAGGTACCTGGTGCTCTTGACGCAATGGCAGTTGACACCAGTCTAGATGCAAGACTTCTCAGTGACGGGTCACTCAATTCGTCAAGCCACTGCCACACTCCCTCATTGAACACATCTATAAAAGAGAGAAACAAACCAAAAAGGGGAAAGGCAAACAAATAGTATGAACGATTTCATCATCTGTTAACCTTGTTCATCTGCTCTACACGCACGGATTTCCTTTATTGTTTTTTTTTTTCAGTTTGTTTTTTCTTTTTTGTTTTGTTTTGTTTTGTTTTTATTAAGCAAGACTGATATATTTTTCAATCTATTTTTAAACTTATCTTAAGGAAGGTCTCAATGGGGTTTTACTTGACCGTCATGAGCCGTCAAAGGGTCTAAAAATTTAATCGTCAGCCGTCAAAGATTATTGAATTTCTTTCCCCTCAACCGTCAAAATAGACGGTTAAAATTAACTGTCAGACGTTTTAAGAGAGGCCGCCAGGATATTTCGAGAATCGAAAATCAGTGACGAAAAATCGAATTTTTTTTTTTTATTTTGCCAAAACATCCCTTTCTGTGAACTAGTTTCGAAAAAAAAATTTAAAGTTCCAGCGATTTTCTTTCCGGCTGAAATTTAAAAAGTTTAAAAAATTCGTTAAAAAAGCCGTTTTCGCCTTACCTAAACGGTCAAATCGTAACGCAACTTTAGAAAAATTTTGGCAGCGCCAAACAAGTCCATTCACCATAAAACTTTGCACAGTAACTATAATATCACTGCACAGTAAAAGCATATAAAAAGTTTCTTGTAATTCTTTTTGGTATGGGTTTTATCGCCGTTTTTATAAAGGTGTATTTTGCACACCTTTTAGGAGACAAAATAAAGGCTAAGTTTTACCGGTTTAAACGACACCTGTAACCTAAAATTTCGACATTAAAACCATATCAGACGAGAGCCAATTTATCAAACTATGCACCTGGAGAGTTTGGCCGTTGGAAATTAAGTCTCGGCTTGGTAGTTCAATAAAACGTGATGCCACCCAAGTGCCATGTGAGCGTGCAGAATTCGATGTTCATTTCAAGCTAATTATAGAGTCAGTTTGTCGAAAATATTTGTTTTGAAAACAATCACATTCAAAAGACGAGAGGTCAAAACACTGATCTGCGTGTAATATCGTGCCACTGCCTATTGAAAGGATATTGATATGGATGATCATTCCATTTTAGAGGAAGCCATAGTCCCTGGCAGATAATACGATGAGCTTTTATTGAGCCGTTTAGATCAAATAGCACTGTAAATGTGAGCGAACGAGAAAGTGCAACATCACTTTGAAATAATCGCTTAAAAGTTTAGAAATCAATTGTATTTCGGATGCGAGAAACAGAAAGTTATCCTAACCTCCTCAAAGATCATCACGAACGACAAATAACGAGTGAAAGTGAAACAATTTTGCTTGAGTATTTAAATACTCGGTCAAGTATTAGGCTCGCTCATGATGTAGTTGGAGTGTTCAAGCTTAACACAGTTTAGTCCGCCGCTAATTGTAATAACAACGGAATTCCTATCTTGCCCTGAAGAAATTAACCTAACACCAACGTTCTCAATTTCATAGGACATTTTTGCCACAGTGACGATACCTCGCAAGATTGCGGCACAAAGACGATTGCGAAACACATCCAACATTTAGGACTAATGAACGTCATTCAAAAAATTATTTAAAAAAGTATGGTTATCTCATTACAGATGAATATCACATTTATTAATTAAAACGGGAAAGATACAGAATTCTTTTTTAGAGAATCATAATCGGACCCTGAGGGAACATTGCATTTATTTTAAGGGTCACTGAGGTTTGACCTCAGAATTGTGCAAGCTTTGAAGTTTGAGTAAGCAAAGAAGGAGACATCTTCCAAACAACAAGAGCAAGCTCCACGCTTATGTCGACTGGAGATATTTTATCAATCTTTTGAACTTCCTATGCGAATTCAAGCAGAGAAATACGGATCCAGAACATCTTTCCCTATGAGTATTGGGAGACTCCTGGGAAATACAGTTGTCTTCTAGCATATTCTCATTACGTTTATATAGTTTCTACGACTTGATAAGTCAAGGAAAATTGAACTGTATAAATACAAAGTTTGAGTAATAGAAATCTTTAATCTACAACTGTGCTACATACTAGACAGTTTGCGATTTACAGCTTTAAGGTCGGGAGGAATTTCTTGTTATCGTGTCTGCTTCACAAAATTCTTCTTTGCTGCTCAGTGCGACATTTTTATTCATGATTCAATTGTTACCTTCAACTCGCGCAGCTTCGCTAAGTCACGAAAACAACAACATAGATTCCGAGAAATATGATTGAGAAACTATGCTTGGTATATTATGTTAACCCTTGGATTACATTTTGTTAAGGACATTAGCCAGAAGGCTCATTTTTTGATTGATTATTGATTAGTTCACTAATTTCAGAATGATCTTAGATAGCCACATAGTTACAATGCTTATCTGTTTTTCTGTATTTCTATTGGTTTTGTAATCGGACCTTTCAGCGTCACCACGCGCATATAAAAGGCAATTTTAGCGTCCCTTTAATCAGTTCTTCGTAAGTTTTGAATAGCCTTGGTAAACTTTCGCCCTTTCGTTTT